ATGGGACGAGGAGCCTGTAGTGCAGCAAGAATCATAACCACCCGAAGGGGGCATGCCAAACATAGGTGAGAACGAGGGCCCAACCGACGACGACGCCATCGATGGACCCGCAACCAATGGGGGAGCTACAACATACTGAGGCTGCCTCATCATGGGACGAGGAGCCTGTAATGCAGCCAAAATCTGCTTCTGTCCTGCCACTATTTCAGCCAGCACTTCCTATCGGACAGCCTGCGCTTCAGCCACGCAAAGAAGCGAGTTACGCAGCGCTCGCATCGCAGGGTCAAGTGTTGACTCATCTAATGCTTCTAATCTGCCTAGCTCCTGTCTCCTACTCCTTGGTCTGTTTTTTTCTCAAAATAGCTCTTTTTCTCCTCTCTGCTGCCTCATCCAATTGCCGTTGTAGATCATCCTGAAGTTCGTCTGCTTGGAGGATCTCATGTTCCTCCAGGGTGAGTTGAACCTGCTGGCTTACTTACAAGTCAGCACTCTGGCTAACAGAAGCCTGAGAACCACTCCGGCGAACTCCTGATGAAGTGGCCTGTGTAGAGGCCTGCGACATGGTAGAGGAAGTAGCCATGGTCGAACCGGTACTAGCTGTAGTTCTAGACCTGGCGCTGGCCTCAGCCACCCTCACTCTTCTTGCCGTTGTTCTCTCTCTAGCCTCTCTCCGCAGTCTTCTGTCCTCTCCTGGACCTAACTCTAGGAAAGTCGAGGATCGACTGAGAGCAGTTGTTCGAGTGCCCTAAGGTCATCCACTAACAACTCCCCCTCACTAGTGCTTGCATCACTCATGAGCTACAGTGTGTGTGATCTAAACTAGAATCCACACTGAATCCTACCTCAGCAGGACACACAACCGATTTATGATACACAACTAACTTTGATCAGCTGGACAGAAACAGTTAGGTGGTTAGGTGTCAACCAATGTCAGATCCTACAGGGAATATTAAATCTATTTTTAGATTACTCTAATACAGATTGCAATGCAGCAAAGAATATGCGAATATGCTACTCTATCTGCAACCGTCCGTCGGTTGTTAGTCAAGTCTATAACAACTAAATAATCAAAAATAAAAATAATGCTCCCTGCAAAGATGTATGCTGAACGGCTGTATATCTAATTTTATGCCACGGCGAACAGTTGCCGATTCCCCTTGCTCCCTGTATCCTTCTTGAGTTGTCACTTTGTGTCAACGCCTTGAGCATCTGGTTGAGCAGCCTGTCTGAAGGTGTGCAATCCCGCCCACCCCGGTGCCCCAAGTCAACGCCGAACCTGCCAGCCCCTGCACATTATTTATCCTCGCATGCAACGAGCCTTACACCCGGTTTGATCTGGCTGATCAGGAGGCATTTAAGGAGATCCCCCGTAACTCCTCAGGAATTATTTCACGTCGCAGACCGAACGACGATCACAGCCAGAATCAACACCGAGTCCCCGCCAAAAATATTTAAAGGCAGTCTGGTATGCGTTTGTTCAAAGGGCTGGCATGCCCTGCATGACCTCTATTGCGCAGCAGCAGAACCAAGGACTTGCGGCAAAGCATGCGTGTACTAGTCCCAGCGGGTTGGCATGGTGACAGTGACCCGAGTGCTTCGTTCAGGGCCCTTCAGAGGCAATGCCCGTCTCCCACCAGCTTGCTCCCCAAGAAGAATGTTGACTCTCAAGGTTGAGCGCTCGCGACACCTCACATTGAGAGGACTCTCAAGACAAGACTCACTTCCTCACGGTAAGAAGTAGTGAAGAGGGTAGATAAGGAAGGAAGCAACGTACCTCATAATGCTGCCCCCAACCAGAGATTTCTCACCGGCAACCTGATGTGCATTTATGATGACCAGTCCTTGCCTCGGCACAACCAACAGCAGAACGCAGTTCCACCTCGGTTTAATTGCCACATCACCGAGTTCTCATCATCCAGCATACACCCCTAATGTCACCACATAGCTTCCTGGCGCGCCCACACGACCCTGGGCCGCCTTACGTTCAATGCCCAAGCCTTATCACTGCCCCACACCTCATGCGAAGCACCGAACAGCTATTGCGAAGAACCAATGAGCGCAGTTCGAACCAGCTCTGATACCAAATTGCAAGGAAAATGAGCAATAGCAAAAGGACAATATTCAGATTGCACAATCACATTGAAAGCCAGATCGTATCAGTGTTCAGAAAGCAGCATTGCACCAATATGACACCAATGGAGAATCGTAGCACTGAAAACCAATGTTAATGAGCGCTTGCTCTCGCCACCACCAGCATATGTATCCAGTCCTTACCTCCCTACTTGGCGCTCGGCGCCCAGCCTACTCCCTACACAGCTCCTACTAGCCTACTAATTGGCAATGCAACTGTTGACGCCAGCAGCCCCCGAAGTACTTGAAGATGTCGCCCATGCACACCATCGCCAATACCAGGTATGTGCCCTCACATCATCATCATCCTTCTCTCTCTCTCTCCCTCGTCTTACTCCCACGTCTTCCTTCTTGAAACCCTGCCTGGACCCCAAATACGAAATTGAAGGCCGAGGGCCTTTCGTGATTTGTTAGGCCCGCCTTCACTTAGGGCGGGCACAGATGCAACAGGGGGCCCTTAGGCCTGCCGAGGACCCAGATCCTCGCACAGGTTTCCTCATTACCACGTGTATGTCTCAAGTCCACAGTGCCCAGAAAAGAGAGGAGGGAAGAGTAGACAGTTGAAAGGAGAAATATAAGCCCCTCTCCTCCTTTAGGCTCCCCACCTCTGCCATGTCAGCAACATGCACTCAATGTTCCATGCCAGCAATACGCACTCAATGTGCCACGTCAGCAATATGCACTTCAATGTGCCACGTCAGCACTCCGTGTAACTCATGGACGATGTGGAAGCAGCCTCTCGCAGGTACACAATCCTCCAACAGCGAGCAGATTCGGCAACTGCTTCACATCTGAAGAAACCAGGTACGTACGCACGATGACTCACATCACCCACACACTCTCTCTCTCCTCTCCTCATTCCCTCGCCGTCATCTATGGTCGCGATCTTGGTCACCCTCGCCCTATTTCACTACTATGATATCGGCTGGCGCCCATCCAGCAGTCAGACGCCAGCATCTCCTCTCCAGTCTCACGCGCAGCGTCGTAGCCGCAAGCAACTCGCGCTCTGGCTCGAGCAGTGGCGAGGCAACCTTTTGTAGCGTTTACTTGCGCTGTCCAGGGTCAGCATCAGTCCATGCGAGGGCCCGGATCATCCGATCCGTCCCAGTTTCAGTCAGGACTCCTCTAGGCCTGAATGTTCCGGAACCTGCAAACAACTGTTATAGATCATTCTAGATCAACAGCCAGGAAATCTTTGTTGTTGACTTTGACCTCTCGGATCTGGGCCTGGGTCCACAAGTTGACTGTTGACTTTTCGATCAACTGTCGTCCCGGGCCTTTTTCAAGGCCTCTTTGAGCCCTCTTTTCAAGGCCTGCCCATTTGTACCTGTCTGTGGGCGCGTCGGGAGTCCAGCCGCCCAATTTAGCAAACGAGTTGCAGCATCTGTATTGTTCCAACTTTAATGGATGTCCCGAAGGACAGAGCGACGTAGAGTATTACTTTCACTTCAAAGATGAGAAATTATCAGTGTCATCAAAACAAGGCATCAGATGGATTTCAATCATGGCAGAACTAAGCTGACCGCACGCAGCATCCGATGAAAACGGATTCCACAGCGAACACGCTTTAGAGAGTTATAAGGGATGCATATGTGTGCGCACGCATGCACAATTGCTACACATACTGTGAAACCCCCTCAACACTCCCCCTTACCACCCCCACACCTCTTTAGCTTCCACAGCATCTCAAGTGTGTGGCATCATTTGCCCTCACTTCCCCACTGAACTGACGTCAGGGGGTAACTACCATTCGTCACTCCCTTGCAGCCATCAACCAGCACTCGTTGACACTTCTCTGTCCCTCTACATGTGCTCTTGCACTCATAGCTTTCCAATACCCTCCCCAATACTCCACTTTGTGCTCCCATTCCATGGATTCCTCCCAAGAACAATGTGTATGGCATGTTACAACATACTTCTTCTTCCTGCCTCCTGGTTGAATATCGCTTCTTTCAGCTCCTCTGAACACTGGCCCTCCCTGCCCCCACTTTCAATGGATACTATCTCGCCACGCCTTTGGACCCCCACAACACTCTCCCTCACTGCCATCCCCTGTAAGGGGTAAGGATGCTGGGATCCCCCCCTCAAGACTTCCTGTTCCCACCCTTCCCCTTGTTGGGATAAAATCATCAGACCCCAATTCCCACTCTCCCTCTATGACCCCCCGATCTGAAATGCCCCGATGGTTCCTTTGCCCCTATACTTCGCTGCATTCCATCTTCCTCCCGACCGCCAACCAGGAATACTTATTGCTGCACAGGTAAGAGCAGCCCACTCAGACAAAAGCGGCACCACCCACTTTTGTATTGCAATTTCTGCCTGCCTGTAATGCTTCGCACCTAATATCACAAACAATCGCTATGTAGTGGTGGTCTGAGCCCTAAAGGATAGCACTCCCTCGGATCTTAACATGCAAAGCACAGCACATACACAGACAATGACACAGAATTTGATGCTACATCAGGTCAACAACATGATTGTCTGCTTAATTTTCAAAATGCTGAACTTCAATGCATTGTTCCCACTATCTCCATTCCGATGTGTCCTTTTCTTTCCTCTCTAGGGTTCGGTTCCAATGATTCTATCTATGTCCAAGAAGCGCATTCCATCCAACAAGAAAAACTGCAGAAGATAAAACATCCTGAAATGCAGAACTCACAAACACATACATTGACAGCTGCAACCTAACTCTTTCCGAGCCCGCTGGCTACCAATGCATTCTCTTTCCGCTTGAATCCCCCTGCCATGAAAGTGCTGGATGGTGGTTAGTTGCCGGATATCCATGCGGGTGCCGCCCCATACATCTGCCAGAGCGATGATCGCATATAGGGGAAATCCTCACAGGCACTGGAGACCCACCTGAATGTACGTGATATAACAGAGGGCCTTAGACATAGGCCCGCCTTCTGGCTCTCGGCACATCGCACACACCATCTGACTCTCCCGCTCTGTACACTTCCTTTTGCGACAAGCAGGTTCATCAACACCCCCCCTCATTGAGTCAGAGTCCATTGGACACTTTCCCTTCATCTTCCCCTTGATGCTGTCTTTATCTTCCTCAATATCATCCTCTTCATCGCTGTCCTCCATGGATATCATGGTCTCTGCAAACTTTGCTTGCTCTTTCTTCATGTTGGCCTGCCGAAAACATTAAAAAACAAAAGCACGGTCACCAGAAAGCCTACGGACTATGAGATCTCTGAAATAATACTCGCCAAAAACCTTATCAACATTCCACACAGCAGGAACAAATAAGAACTTCTCAGTTCCTTTTTATCCCAGGTGAAACATTGACATCCGTTAAAATTGAAACAATACACAGAAGATTAGCATGGCCCCTGCACAAGGATGGCACATAAATCGAGAAATGGTCCAGGTGCATGGTTGCATACCTGCCTACCGCCAACCGTTTTGCAGAGGACCAGTAGGGCCGACCAGTCAGTGGTCTGCCAACCAGTCAGAAAACGGCCATCCACCTTTTTTTCAGATCCAAGTTGGAAGCTGTACTTCGCTTGCTGAGTACAGCCAAAATCCGCTGAGAAACTTTCGGGGATTTGGGGGGGGGTGTGGTATGAGGGTGTTGGGGGGCGGTTTGGGGGTGTTCGGGGGGTGTATGGGGGTATTTGGGGCGGGTATGGGGGTGTTGTTGGGGTTATTACTGGTTCTGGACCCAAATAAATATATGTACATTGTCAAAAATATTGCAAGGAAAATGAGCGATAACAAATTCCAGAAGCCAAGCAGCTACATACACATGAAACCAGATAAACCAAAAGCAGAATTGCAACTTTGAGTTCCACCAAATAAGAGCACAGCAAAAGCTCACAAGTGACAATGTTGGAATAGTCTCATCATCATCAACAATCAAAAAATGTTGAATCCCTATGTTGTGCTCAGCGCCTAGACTACTAATGGCAGATCCTATCTAGCCTATCTACAATGCCGCTGGTGACGTCAACAGCTTCCCGAAGTACGAGCAGATCTCAGCCAATGCCATTCGCCTCAAACACCAGGTATGTCTCACGCTTCACTCACAACCTCGATCCCCCACACAGATGCCACGTGCACTCAAGGATCACCATGCGCTCCATCCAGCAACGTGCAGGCCAGCTTCGCTATGGCTGCCTGCTTCTTCCCTGCTCGCCAGTGAGCGCGTAGGCACTCGCTCCAGCAGCTGGCGCGGCAGCGCTTGTGCATAAGCAGCGAGTGCCCGAATGTCAAATGCAGAGGCAGGCACTTTCCTTTATGGAAGTGGCCTGCATGCTGCGTGCTGCCTGGCCGCGCTGGGGCCCTTGCCCGGAAGCTTCCAGTAGGCCCCAAGTGCCTGAGACCAGAGAATTCCGCAGGGCTCCGGGTGGTGGTTACGCGTGTCTAACTGCCAAGCGTTGCTCCGTGCAGTTTGTGCCCCGTGTCTGCCCCAGGGCCTGTGCCCAAAAACATAGGAAGAGCCTAGAAGCCCTCGACTGGATACTGTTGCCCACGGCCTGGGTTCATTCAACCAACTGACGCAGCATAACTGTCTGAGCCCCACTTTTTTTTTTAAGCCGGGGTCGTTCTGCGCTCGGCGAGAGGACCACAAATCTGCAATAAAATTTTGGTTTTGGTGGG